CCCGGTAGATAACGCCTGCACCGGCGGCAGTGCCGCGTAGGAGACGGCCCAGGAGGTGCGCGGGAAGCGCTTTTCAAGCGCTTCACCTCCACAGGTGACCGAGGAGGAGAGAGGGTGTCGGCTGCACAGTGCCAGCTCTGAGGCGGTGTGGACGTAAGGAGCATACAGTGCTCCCGCAAGGAGAACAACAAAAAGTACTGCTGTTCTGACGTCTCAGAAAAATCCAGGAGCTATTCCGAATGACCGTATTGTGTACAACGGCGCTGGTTATACGCACATTTGAACATACATTGCTTTTTTTCTTGTAAAACATGACTTGCACAAAAATCGGGTGTTGGCAAGTCAAGATGCTCAATCTGGAGGGATTAATAGTGTATGTTTTCTGCCACAGGAACAAGAAAATTGTTGATTATTCTCAGTTTGGGGATTTGGAAGATGATGGTAAGCAGCGTGTTCTTGTACATAACAAAAATGCCAAACACTAATGCAACCACCCAAAATACAATTCTTAATGAATTAGTTCATTGAGAAGGCCGTTACTGTTTTCACTGGAAGTAATCTGGGAACAATGTTAAATATCCTAATATTCAACAAGAGTATGATGGCTGTAAACCAGAGTATAACAAGAAAATATTGTGTCTTGTTGCGGGAAAATCTGTTTCTCTCCCTGCCTCAGTTTTCAGTGGTAATTGGTTGCTCCGTGTCCTCCTGATGTAAATCAGAATAGAAGGCAGTTGTGAATCATCTGTACGTAGATCTAACCGTTTCTCCTGCGGCTCTGTATCTTGATAGGTTTTGAGTAAGGTCATAGCAGTCAAATTTTGAGTTCCATTGATAACAAAAATAGATTGCGGGCTATTTGTTTTCACGACAGCCCTCCTTTACTTCTAAGCCCTAATGGGTGTTAATGCATTTTTCTTACAGAATTTGATTGCTTTCATATATTTTTTTCCCTACCCCCATGCTGTTTGCAGGATCCAGGGAACACTTTGAATTGGTGGGAAGGGGAGGGCAAAAGTAAGTAGTGCTGAAGGTCTAGTGTGAATCATATGCATTAATGCAGATTCTTAGTTTAAATGTAGTGCATGGCTTTTCTTGGTTTATAAGTGACCTCTTGTACTATTAGAGAAGCGTGAGTTCGCAGAAACATTAGTGAACTTTTCTAAGGTTCTCCATCATTTACAGAATGTTGAAGATTTTTTTTTTCCTTATTTTGCACTGTGATATGCAGTGTCGTCAGTTGGAAGGAAGGCAGTTTTCATGCTTTCTAATTGTCATTGAAAATTGGAGAAATGTATTGTATTTAGTAAGAGGCAATATGAAAATGGTAGAAAAAGCGGAGCAGCTCACATTTTTTAAGAAGGGAAACAATTCTCAAAGCACCAAGAACTCTAAAACTGTTTAATAACAATGATTATGTATATGTAATTGATTGCTGTTCACTTTATCAAAAGGTGTATTTCTAGTTATTGAAAATCTGGTAACACATTGGCCATTGAAACTTTATGGCTGTATTGGTAATAAAAATAGAAATAATTACTTCTTGAATAAAAGTATACGCAAAAAAGATCTTGTTAAATTTTCATTTAAAATACATTTAAGAATAGTGTAGTTATTGTGTTCTTTAAAAATAGAATTAATTTCAAAAAAGGTCGTCTTTGGTATATTTTCAGTGTGTGATGAATTTAAGTTGAATTACTTCATTTGGTCATATGGAAGAATATAGGAAAGCTCATTAAAGCTTGTTGCTGTTTCCTAAACAGATGAAGACTTTGCATGTCTAGCTGCACCGTCAAGTAAAAAATCCAGAACACAGCTCAAGGAACTAAAGAAGGAGAGAAAAGAGAAGCAAAAACAAACACACAAAGAATTGACTCCATCACAAAAGCAGACACCTAGTAAAAGGTGAGAAATGTTGAAATGTGGTCAACTCTGTGTAAATCTGGATTGCAATAATGGTATTTGGTTTTTTCCTTTTTTTTCCCCGGAGTTTTAAGCAGCTGAGAATAAACTAACGTACCAGTGTGATAAAGTTTTTCAGCTTTACTTTTTTATTTTTACTTTTTTATAGTTGCAAGTCAGAGGTAATGTAATTATGCATAGAGTCTTGCCTGAGTTCAGTAATGAGCTGTGTGTAGTTTGTTACAGCTCTAAAAAACTCCAGCAAGCAACCTGCATAGGTGCAGAAACAGGTTTGCATTCTCTGAGCTTCTCTTAGTATCTCTACAGTGCAAAATAACTGTAACAATTCTGAGTTACTTAAGGACTCCTAAAATGGAGAAATATAGAGACAAGTTTAACTCCTTGAAAGCTTGATAGAAAATACAAAGTCAGTGTCAATGAAAAAACAAATCTGATTATTTTGGTGGTAAAGTTGTGTATGAATATTACATTTCAGGGTGGTATTTCAAACAACTGTAATCCCTTTTTTCTGTGATAATACCAGTTATTAGTTTACATATATACACACACAATGTTTTGCTGTCATAATACTTTTAAATATAGTGTGCTTTAAATATTAGTGTGTACTTTGTCTAAATCTTTTCAGGAGGTGGTATTCATAATACGATACGCTATAAGAATGTATTGAAATATTAATCTCTTTACAAGTATTTGAATTTTAAAAAGTTCAGTGAGTCAGAAATAGATCTGTAATGCTCATGTCATTGTTATGTCATTTAGCATGTTTGGTTTTTTTTTCCAGGATATCCTTGGATGACAAACTTTATCAAAGAGATTTGGAAGTTGCCTTAGCCTTATCCATCAAAGAAAAATCTGCAAATATCGTTGAGGTGCAAAATCCAGAAGAACAAGGTTACTTTACAGTTCAATGCAACATACTTTACATGTAGTGATTTCAGACATTACTATTTTGCAGTGAAATAGGTTGAAAGTCATGTTTTATTTCAAGGTGTCATGATATGGAAATGAGAATTTCTAGGTAGTGCCTGTCTTCCTATGTTCTTGTTTTTTTCTGTGAGAAAAATAACTCTTCTATAAGATCTTCCAAACACATAGTTTGATTAGAGACAGATAAAAATCTTAGATATTTTAATTTCTCATCTTGACTTTTTATAATGTGGGTTTTGTATACTAATATTTTATATTTTTGTTTGTTTGTTTGTTTTCTGGATCCTAAAATAGGTAAGAATATTGAGTCAGAAGATGTACACAGGAGACCCCTTTTTTCCAACTGCAGTGTAGACAGTGAACTTTTAGGTAAGTCGTTCTCATACTCTGTCTTTTCAGAAATACCATTTCAAGATACACTTAAGTAGTTTATCTCTTCTTTGTTTCCATTGGTTTCTGTTTTTCACTTACGTGGAAAAAAGAGTTTATCTCTATTTATCTTAAATAGAGACTGAAGGATGCATTCATTTTTTCATTAAAAATTTGCTCCCAGTCTTAAAATTGGAAAACCTGTGATTGCTGAAGGAGATTGTTACAGGTCACTAGAAATTAGTTGGAAAAAGTGACAGACGTGATGTTTTTAGAGGCTGAGTTTATTACTTCTTCGAGAAGCTACTCTCCACTCCTTAATGTGTCCATGATGCCTAAGCATCAAATAAATGTGACCAAAACACTTGCTATGCCGTTGGAAAGTTTTTAATTTTTCCAGTTTTATTTTTGGTCTTCTGTTCTTTTATTAGCTTGATTACAGATAAATATTGATAAATTTCATAACCAGAAAGTATAGCTTGGTCAGTTAAAAGAGTAAAATGAGAATCACATGAAAACAAGTGCTGATGATACGCTTCTGGATAGTACACTTCAAAATCACAAAAATGAATTCCGGGGACTCAAATACCTGCTCCTTTTTGAGAATAGATTTACTGTGAATTTTTATTAATTAGACAACCTTCTCTTTGCTAGGTCTCAATCAGGTTATGGATGATGATGTACCTAGGGGTGACTCTAGGCAAAGGACAGCAGCATCCAAAGTTCCAGCACGTCAGAAGAATTTACTGACCATTGACAGTGATGATGGAGAGCATGCTACTGACTCTGAGCCAGAGTCTGTACCCAGTAAGCTCTTCTCTATAAAAATCCCCTCCTTAGATGTGCTTTGAATGTGATGCCTTATATTTAGTTCATATTTTCAGTGAAATCCATACTGCTTCTATTGTATCTTCCCCCCGTGCCTTACCGAAGCATTATGTTTTAATACTAGTGGCATCTCAGTTTGCACTTTGACAGTAAATCTAAACATTGGAGCTTATTCATACACATTCCCCAAACTAGTAAAATGATACTGCTTCTCTGCATTTGCTGCAGTATGTCAGAACAAATTTCTTCTACTCTCTTTGTCCAGGAAAATTTCATCTCTTTAAAGAGCGTCTGTTCATTTTTCTAGCTGTCATCTGGGGTTTATGTCAAAACAGTGACTCGAGAATAGTGTCAGACGTTAGTGCTTTCAGTATTGGCTTTGTTTAAGCTTATTTAGAAGAATAAGTAGCCTCCCTTCTTTCTTCCAATTCTCAACTCTTGGAAAACCGTGCCTCACCTAATGAGGTCTGTCTAGCCTCATTGCTTCTGGTAGAAGCCTAGTATTGAAGTACCTGCAGAGTATGGTAGACATCTCTCTCTCATTCCCCAGTGGTTAACATGTCTGTATCCATTCTTTTATTCCTTACTGCAAAGTTTATTGGAAAATATTTTTAGAATTGTCTGAAATAAAATATCAGGGGAATAATCCAGATATTTCTGTCGATAGAGAACTGTTTTTAAGATTTGCTAATGTCTGGGGTTTTTTTTAGTAATAAATCTGTAAAATCTTTCTTAACAGCTGAAATTACACATAGAGTTTTTCTACTTTAAATAGTGATGGGTGAGAATATGTAAAAATCAGAAGCCCTGCCAAATAATTTTAACTCTTTCATCTTGCACACATGGAATATTGGTAATTCTGCTGTTAAAATCATTATTGTATGCAGTTTATACCAGGGCGTTCCATTATTGAAGTACAGAGCAAGAATTCTGTAAATACAGAACGTTTTATGGAGGCTATTTCTTTCTCAAGATCCTCATATAAATATGTGCACATTTGTTTTACTGTATCCTTAAAATACTCTGGGTTCTTTATGTCCAGGATGTGATTAGAAGGCCCTGGAGTAAGAGTAAATTGTATTTGCCGTAAAGAGATGACATCCATTTTCCTTGCTGTAGGTGAGGACTCAGAAGACGACTCAGATTATAGTGAAGGTGATGATGAAGGCTTTGCTATGGAAAAGAAGAAAGCCAAAGGAAATAGAAAGAAAACCAAACAAAAGATGCCAGCTGAAAGACAGAAGACAAGTCCCAAATCCAAGATTAATACTATAGGTATGTTTGTCCTGTGAATTTGAAATATTTTTATCTTTATTATAAAAGCTCCTTTTATTTTCACGGAAGGGATAGGTAAATTTGACTGACAAACTGACTGTGCAGGGTTATGATGAAAATGACTACGTGCAGAGTAAAGGGAGGAGACTAGGAAAAAAATCCTGAAAGAAAAAAAACCACTTTATAGTAAACTAACACTCCTTACAATAAAAGAAGACAAAAGCGAATAGACAGTTAATTTATTTTTATATAACTACATCTAGCTTTTAAGAAAAGGTTAAATAACAATGAGTTATCTGAGGATTTTTTTTTTTAATTATAATCTCAGAGCCTCCTCTTGCAGTTGCATTCATGAATTTTTAATTCAAGGATAGCTAAACAATGCTAGTTCTACTAACCACTTGGCAAAACACATTAAATGTGCATGCCCTTCAGAGTTAATTGTTCACTGTGTTGCTAACACAATTGACTTTTAAATATCTTAAGAAAATTCTTATCATGGTGTTAATCTTGTGTTTGACTTGGTAATGTGTTTTAATTTCAGGCCTGAGTTTACAACATGTAATTTAGTTTAAATTCGTTTTAATTATAACAAGGAACGGTTTGCTTCGTGTAGCTGACAGAAGCATCTTCTTTCTTAGAAATTTGGTATCTGGCAGGTCTTCAAGAAGAAATTGTTACACTGCTTATTTCCAAACCGGGATTGAAATTCCAGCGTATAACAGGACTGACTGTATAAATACATACTGTTAAAGATGTGACAATCTAGTAACATACTTGTTATTTCACTCAATGTAGAGAGTTCATGCTGTACAATGATCTATCACTTTATGCAGTGTGATGATTTCTCTGCTAAAGAGTACCTTTCTAAGGTTGCTTTTATTTTCCAACTAAGTATCACCTGTAGTTTCTCCTTCACGGATAACAGAACAAAAATCTGAACCAACACAAAAGATGATGCCCAGTTCTTCAGAAACAGTTGGGAGGCCTCTACATACATCAAGTCCTGTAACAGACAAGAAGCCTAAATGGATACCACCAGGTACCTGTAAGATTGTGACTGTAAACATTACACATTAGTTGACTTAAGCTTTAAGCAATCTCTCCTAAAAGCAAGCAAACAAATAAACAGTATTTCAGAAAAATTACTGCCCTTTTATAAGGAAAGTTATTCTTTTGAACTTAGATTGAAAAAGAAAAAACTATCTCTGTGCTTCTTTTCCTCTTACAGCATTATCCTTAACTCCTTTACATGGGGAGGTTAAATAGATTTTTCCAGAGTGTGGATCAAATCTTCATCAAGAGATTGTCTTGTGGCCATTTCTCTCTTATTGACAGCTTGCTTTATCTCTGGTAAAATGCTGCATCTTTATGTACTCTAAACAAACAATATTAGAAAAATGTTGGGAGTGTTTTAACTGCTCTAGTAAAAAGCAAATGCTTAGAAGCTTTATTTTGTTAAGATGTTTGAGCATGCTGCTGCTGACTCCTGCCGCTTTGATTTTTCTTCATGTTTACTCTTCTTTTCTGTACGCATTTCTTTTTGTTTGTCTCCTTTCTCTCAAGCCTTCCTTTCCAACTTGGAATTGTGCTCAATTGTGTGATTCTCTGTGGAGCACCTGAAAATGCACAGCACACTGGGAACAGTTTTTCTGTGCTTGTCCAGTGTTGTTCCACTGTGTTGCTGGTTACTTAAAAATGTGCAGCATACCTGCTGCATTGGCTTCCAGATTGATTCCCTGTGAGTATGCTGATTTTCACGTGCTTCTGTGGTATATTGTTCAGACTTTTTTACAATGTCTTTGGAATATTTTTTTTGTTCTACTGTGGAAACTATAAAAAGACAGCAGTTACATGATTCTTTTCTTTTTTCCTCTAAACTTCCAATACCTTCTTTTTGTTTTAAAATTGTTTTCAGCTGCATCAGGAAGCAGTAATAACTCCATGAAATACGTTTCGGTTAAGTCACCTACTCAGTGTCTTAGACTCGGCCTCTCCAGACTAGCAAGAGTCAAACCACTGCATCCCAGTGCTACCAGCAGTTAAGTAGTCAGTGACAAGGTGCCACGTGAAGGAAAAGACTTTGGAAAGTGTTTTGCTAATAAACAGAGGGTGGGCAGCAAAAGCTTCATGGCATCATCCGTTTTGGAGGACTTTTTTCTGTACATGTCTAATACTATAATGAGTTTTATTCTGCAAAATGCTAGGCATCCTTGTGTGCTACTGAATAATATTATTTTATCAAGGTGACATCTGCGTCATACTCAGAGGTGTGGATTTGTGATAATTTTAATTCTCTGATATCTAAACTCTTGGCATTAAAATAGTCTAGACAGCACTATGGCAGTTATAGAATTTGATATCTGAAATGGATTCTTAACACAAGTGAAAGTCACAGTTTAAGAAGTATTTCTTGGAAGAGTGAAGTTATTACTTTCCACCCCATTCTTGGAAAGTTTGTCACCACTCTCTTAAAATCTGTTAATGTTTGCATACCTTATATGTGGGTTTTAATGAATTTTTATGTATTATAGATATAAATGGTTTTTTAAATGTTGTATTTTTTAAAAAACAAAAATAAAATACTTTTTATAGTCTAAATAATTATAGTAATTGACTTTGTTAGTTTTGAAAATCAATTCTAAATTTTGGCTACAGTCCTGCAAATATTTTCGCAAGTGCATACTCTTATTGGAAGTCAACAGCATTAGTCAGGCTCAGACAGTAAGGATTTTGCTTTGAACTTCTTGGTCTTCGTTGAAAACCATGATATCATACATAGTCAGGGGACTTTGGAAAACATTTGAAGTGACAGTTACTGAGTAATGTGCCTGAGTTTTCAAACTTACTAGTCCACAATGTAAATAATTTTCTTTCTGAGTATGTAGTCTTATGTGAGATGACACAGCAGATGCATTTGTCCCTGGGTTACTTAAGGGATCTGGTCATGACTGAGTGAATTGCATTAAAAAGGAACATACAGCCCTATTCAGAGTAATTACACAGACAAAAGCATGGTGCTGCTGAAAGTAAAACTGTGGTATGACAAATTGCTTTTTAATTGTATAGTACTTACATTATTAAACAAGATACTAATAAATACATATTTATTAAAACCAGTATGCATATTGCCTTATGGAAGGAATGAGATGAAATCTGTGAATGAAAATCTGTTTCTGAGAAACAAGGAAACCTGGGCATTGTGACATAGAATCTTGCATCATCCGCATTTTGGATGCCTGACTTCTGCCACGGAATCTCATAGCCCTGAGTGAAGTGTGATCCAGTGCTGGGCGAAGTGAGTTGAGGAGGGAAGGCACATGCCTGCTGTCTCTAGTGCTTGTCCGACTCATTCGTGAGTTGACTTAGCTCGCTAAAATGGCACAACAAAAAATAGAAGTTTGCAGCAGGTTGACATCAGATGAGCTTGAAACTGCTTCTAGACAAGGGTGAAGCAGGAGTACCCACAGGAGGAAAGGTAGGTATCCAAAAGTAATGCTTGCGACAACTAGTATGCAGTATGTATGTTGTGTTATTCCTTTCTTGATTCCTTTTCTTTGTGCTTGCTCACGCAGCCCCTTTCTGGGGTGTACGTGAGCACATGGCTGCAGCAGAGTGGGAAGCACGGAGAGCCGTGGGCCCCAGGGTGGTTTGTTGCAGCATCCCTATCCATTGCCCCTCGTTCACACTTCAGTCCTTTTCTTTCCAATGGGAGCGGTCACGCAAAGAGCAGCTCTGTGGTCCCTCACTGCATGGCAGTCACCAAGTCTCTTTCTGCTGAAGCTAAACTATCATGAATTGTTTTGCTTTTATGTTTTTTTCAGGGATAAATAAGATTTTGTGTCATTGCACATTTTCTTGCTACAGGGAAATTTATGTAACAAAGCAAAGTATTTTCTCAACGTGGTGCTTCAGGAAAATATTTTTACAGCTGGAAGATTTAGTAACCTTTTTACCTCACTTTTCATCTCCCCCCCCCTCCTCCATGAAACATACATTTGAGATTTGTGTTCCTCTGGTTTCAATCTTGTAATCTTTCAAAAATTATGTAATTTTAAGTCTGTCACCTGTCCTTGAGCCTCTCCTTGAGTTTGTATGGGTTTCCAGTTCATGAGGATTTTCCAGTATTTCTCTAGGGTTTTTTTCTGAGTGAATTTCCACATAGGCGATTAGAAAAAATGTCTTTGAAAGGGAAGTAGGAACTGTACTTGGTTGTATGTTACAAAGCTACTCTGTACCTGACCTGAAGAAAACAGGTCTTGCTGGTAGGTGCAGTTTATTTTTAAAAAAGGCAACTTCTTTTGTGTCCTAGGTTATCAAAGGACATGGTCAAAAGCAGCCAAATTGATTTGGGGGCTGTAATTGTAACTAATTATTCTTTTCTGCTAGTTAACAGAGAGGTTGTCTGTGTTATTCTAGCTGCTTTCAACCTTGGAAAATTAATTTTTTGCTGAAAATAACATTTACAGTTCCCTCATTGCTCTGAGGTCTAGACAACACTACATAGAATTGTCAGTGCATCATTTCTCCGATAGTTGCACAATGGTATGACATGAAATGCATTTTGATTTCAATTTGTAAAGCAATCATACAGTGTATTGGTTTGTGTGTCAGAGTTTACAGTTTTCACATACTTCCTGTTTTAGAACTGCATCTGTATTAGTAAAAAAGAACAAGGTCGTTAAAGAAGAGATTGCTGTTGGTAATGTAAACTTTGTTGCCAACATCCTCAAAGTCATGACTGTGAGTAGATAACCTGTCCGATCTAGAGATCACCTCTTGCTTCAGAAGAGCAGAGGGGTTTTCCAGTGTTGATTGTGACTCCGGATATTCCTAGAGACGGAATCAACTGCATGGTAGTTGAAAGCTGCTGTTGCACAGCTGTGTGAGTGGATCGTTTGCTGTGCCCATGGGGATGCAGGCTGGTCGTACAGAACAGGGCTGCATCACAAAAACACTCGGCAGAATTCCACCAGCCTGAAGACGCCATGCTCCAAGACTGATACATAGGCTTGGTCTGAGACAAGCTTAAAAAAAACAATAGTTGAAAATGGCTAAAATTTAGGGACACATCAGCATGAAATTGCTTTGACTAGTCATAAAGCAGATCTATGTACCTCCAGACATTCAATGTCATCCGTGCATCTCTCACATCCCGCTCTCCCTGAGAGTACTGATAACACCATGTAAAAAGAGGAGGAAATGGCCAGACAAACAAGACCAGCAGAAACCTACAAAGCAAAAGTTAAAGTTAAGTACAGCAGATTGGTGGGATAAATCTGTGTGTCTGGGGACACCTATGGCACCTCTTTGCTCTCTGTGCCACAGAGACTCTTTTAGACGGTGGTGATTGACTGGGCATTTCACAGAAGACACATCTCTCTGCATTAAGATCCATGAATGACAGCTTGGCAATTAACATTGATGTTTTGGCACAGCAACTCGTTAAGAACTGTTGGTTTAGCAGTACCTTTTAATGCATTAATGTTTAGACTTTAGATTTGATATTTCTAATAATAAATGCAGAGCATTATTTAAAGCAGAATATTCAAATAGGATACAAAGCAAGAGCAGAGCTCAGCCTTCTTGATTCAGTTGAACATAGCATTTTAGAACATGCTGAACAGGCCGGTGGCAGATGTGTATTTGGAACCTTCAGCATCAGAATGGATAGACTAGAACAGAACTGAATAGAATATTTTAGTTGGAAGGGACCTACAGTGATCATCTAGCCCAACTGGCTGAGCACTCCAGGCCTGACCAAAAGTTAAAAGCATGTTGTTAAAGGCATTGTCCAAATGCCTCTTAAACACTGACAGGCTTGGGGAATTGACCGCCTCTCTAGGAAGCCTGCTCCAGTGTCTGACCACGCTCTCAGTAAAGAAATGCTTCCTAATGTCCAGTCTGAACCTCCCCTGGTGCAGCTTTGAACCATTCCCGCACATCCTAACACTGGATACCAGGGAGAAGAGATCAGCACCTCCCTCTCCATGTCCCCTTCCTCAGGAAGCTGTAGAGAGCCATGAGGTCGCCGCTCAGCTTCCTTATCTCTGAACTAGACAGACACTGTCTCCTTGGCTGCTCCTCGTAGCACATGCCTTCCAGCCCTTTCACCAGCTTGTTGCCCTCCTCTGGACGCATTCAAGGACCTTGACATCTTTCTTAAATTGTGGGATCTGGAACTCCAGGTGAGGAGTTCCTGAATACAATGCAACTGTCGAGCCTATGGTCAACCAGTAGCCCTGGGTCCCTCTCTGTAGGGCTGCTCTCCAGCCTTTCCTCTCCCAGTTTACACAGTGCCCAGCATTTGTTCTTGTTAAATTTCATCCCATTAATCATTGCGTAATGCTCCAATCTGTTTAGATCCCTCTGCAAGGCCTCGTCACATTCAAGAGAAGAAAATCATGCTCTTGGATCCAGCTTCCTCATATATGTTCACTGACTCTTACCCACACTTGAGAGCTCCATTGCACAGTCAAAATTCGTAGTCAGTAGAAAAGTGGCATTTATTTTCTGTGGGAGTTTTGCTCACTAATGAGGTTTGAAAATGTGCTAAGGAAATCAGAACCGTTTTTATGAAGCCTGGATTTTTCACTGATTTTGAATTACTCTGTGGTGTTCAGAGAACAGCTGAGAAAACATGGTCATAGATGATTATTTCTATGGTGTTAAAATATCACAGTGGGGTAAAGGAGTTAGAGATCTTGATTTGGAAGAATAAGTATTCTTCCTCAAAACAGTTTTATCAGTGTTACGATTTTTCTTCATCCTGGTTTTCTAGTCTATGTACAAAGGTAAATAATTTCATGACATAAACAACAAACATTAGGAAAAATATAAATTAAAGAAAGTAATTGTATACAATTCTAATTGAGGGAGTTGGGGATAGATAAATAATTGGTGTAGTGACTGATGAGTTGTAAATTAGTGGAATAAATTATATAATGTGCGAGTAATCTTTGTGATAAAAGCTGTTGTTTAGCGTTTGAGGTGCTTGTTATATAATATTTTTCTACTTATACGTTCTTGAAAATAGTTTTGTTCGG